TTTCGCTTTGAAGCAAGCAGGAAGTAGCCAGCTACTTCAGTCACGAACTTCCTTTAATTAAGCCAATTATCTTGCAGTGGGACACTTTCTGATGGAAGGTCTATGGGAGAGATTCACATCACTGTTCGGTATGCTTCCTTAAGGCAATCTCTCATTGTGTTGGTCAACTCATGCAGGTACAGTAATGTTTAGCAATCAATCTCTGATTATGTTTTGAGAGAAATACCATTCTTTTTAATATTTGGATTACCCTTAACACATCTTGGGTATAATGGCAATTATTTTACTTTAATCTTTGCTTAATAGAATGAATATATGCATAGCAATTTCCCCTTCCAAATTTTCTAGATTGGAGAATTTGATCAGAGTCTGCAACTATTGTTGGCTGAACATGTTGTTGTTTAAATTTATATGGTGCCCAACTCCCAAAAATTCTAGGCCGTTTACAAATGATTTAAAACAATAAAAACAAAACATGAAAAACAGCAAGAGACAATGAAATCAGTAAAGAAGGCAGAAAAATAAAGCAGGTGAAAACCAAAGAAAGTAACCTGGGTTAAAAGGAAGCTTCAGTCATCCCCATCAAAGGCTTGAGCGAAGAGCCAGGTCTTCCGGGCCCTTTGAAACACCAGCAAGTGGGGGCATTAAGATCCCAGGAGAACCTCAATCTAGAGGTTCTCTGTGCAGTGATAGAGAAGATACACTTCAGGCATAGCTTAATTGAAAGATCCTAGAATGCACCTATCCTGCAAGATCAAATTGTCTGGGCAGATATTAATGGACACAAATGGTCCTTCATTTGACCATGCCCCATGCCCCATAGGGCTTTATAGGTAACAAGCAGTACCTTGAATTGTACCTATAAGCAAACAGAAAACAGCATAGCTCACAAAGCAGAGGTATGTGGGTATAAGTGCATTCTGGTCCAGTTGAAGCTTCCAAGTGGGTCTTCCTCATGTAATTGCATACATATGCTGACTGAAGAACTCTTCAAAATTGGGCTCCTGATTATTCAGAGAACTGCAACTGCTGGACCTTTTATATATTTCACTTCAATCCAGCTCAACTTTAGTAGCAATTCTATCCTAAGAATAGCCTATTATGGACAAAGATCCTCTAGGTTTCTGTTGTTCAAATTCAAGAAAAAGGTTTAACCTGATTGAATCTTTTCTTCAGGAGTTTTTCTTAGTCTGTTGATTGTAAATATGCTACCATTTTCTACCCATAAGAAATTTACCGCCATGCTCTCGGCATGGAGCATATCCGTATGTTCGCATCTACTTGCTCCCAGACAAAAGATGGATAACCCGAAGAAGAACTACTGTGAAGAAAAGAACACTGAATCCTCGGTATGATGAGAAGTAAGTAAATGCTGTAATGAAATTGCTTCCTGCTGAGGCCTAGATGTTGCACTTGATATCCCCATAATGCTCGTCAAAAACATGCAATACTCATTAGGTGATGTAATTAGAGCTCGGTTTAAGTTTTACCTTATTGTTAGGGTCACAGCTTTTCTCTGGTGCCGTTTTCAAAACATCCAGTCCTGGGTGCAGCATGAAGTAATCTAAAGTTTTTAATATCACCCATGTTTCTTGGATGCAAAAAGGATTTGGAGTGACCTATTGCCTTTCCGCTTGAGAAAGAAAGATCACCATCTAGAGATTGTGCAGTAATGAAGTAAATGAAAATATGACCTGTATAATTTCACCTTCTATGATGTCAAATTTTGAATTTGAGAAATCAAAAAAGCCAGCTGGGTGACTGTGGGCCAGTCACTCTGTCTCAGCCCAACTCATCCCACAGGGCTGTTGTTATGGGGAAAATAGGAGGAGGAAGGAGTATGACGTTTGTTCACTGCCTTGAATTATTTATAAAAAATAATAAAGATAGGATATAAATAAACAGAAATATATTGTATAAAAAACCAGAACTTTATTACAGAAGAAATCCAATATAATAAATAAAACTAATACATAATAAAACATTCAACAATTTTCATATGAAAGCAAGGTTACCTCTGCAGATAATTTATTCAGTTCTCTGTGGGCAACTTTTTATCACAGTGTATCTGTGTCATTGAGTAGCAGAATTTTGCCATGGAATATGGACTTTAGGACTTTTTGTCACTACAAAGTAATGATGGTTAGCATATCCAGCCTTAAATCCAAAATAACAGGCATAACCTGGAAGAAACATGCTTCACGGATTCAGTCACATCTGATCTAATCTATGGGAACATTGCCTCTGCAATCTGGAAGTGTTTGGAATTTGAGCGGGTCTTACATATTGGATGTATTTTTTTCTAACTGATTGTTTATTAAAGTTTATTAAAATTTTGCTAAAACTTTAACTTTTCATCATTAGAGAAGAGGGCCCCAAACCTTGGGCCATGGCCCACTACCGCCCCACAGCCTGTTCAGAACAGGGCCACACAAGTGGTAGGCGACTGTGCATAATTGTGTGAGCGGCAGGCGCACACCTTCCACTCACACGGAACCATTCCCTCCCCACCCCACCGATCCGCCAAGCCAGAAAGGTTGGTGAATAGCTGCATTAGAGAATTGCTATTTACATAGCATATTTTTTTTCATACATTTAGATTTGAATTTAATGACACCTTGGAAGACATTAAGAAACGAGCCTTAGATGTTGCTGTGAAAAACAGAAAGTCACTTATTTCACATGAAAGGAAAGAACTTGGAAAGGTAAAATGTTCTTTAAAAGATGCTATTCACATCTTCCTGTGGATTTTCTTCACTTTCCCTCTCCACCCTTCTACACTTGAAGTAAGAATTTGCTATACGAATTATTTAGACAATAACTATGGATTGCTCTATTAACTTCAAAATGTTGCTACTCTCTAGAGGAAGTACTTTAAAAAATACGAAGAGGTATACAGTAAATAGCAGTACTGTGATGAGCTGGCTAGGCAGTTTATACGTGGAAATACACTTTATTTTTTAAAACCATGTACTTGTAACTCAATTATTTAATTAAGCAGCTTAACAGTTCTGACTTTTCTTTTTAAAGGTGCTGATTGACTTATCAAAGGAAGATTTAGTCAAGGGCTTCTCTCAATGGTATGTTTGGATGGTCAGCATATAAAAAGGTAGCAATGCAACCTATCAAGTTGGGCTAGATGCAATGAAAGGATTAACTGTTAGATCTGGATAGTGCAGAATGGACCGAGCAGCAGAAGAAATAATTGCTTGTTTCAAATACAGGTTCCTCTCCCTCCTAAAAGAGGCAGTGGAAAATCTAGGGAGAATTTCACTTCATGTTTAGGCTGTGCTTTACAATATTCCACCCCTTTGCTTTCTATGGGATTCAACAACAACTTAAATTGCAATCTCGCTATCCATTTAATTTTGCTATTGAGAGGAATGTCTCGTGATAGGTTTGATCTATTTATGGCCAGTCAGTATTCGTCCAAACAAGTTTTTAATACAAACACATGAGAAATTGGGTAGCTCTGTGGTTTAGTAATGGTCTTCTGGCTAAACCAAGAAACGATGGCTTGAGTACTAGTTAGATATGGACTTGGCCCATTGTCAGTTTTAAAAACTTGATTTCATAAAATAGGGAGGAAACAAAAGTAACACTGAAAAATATGAAAAGGCCACAGATATATTTATTTTGTCACTCCAAACGTTTTGCTTTCAAACAGCCTGAGAATGGTGATGCAACATTTTGAATATTTGAGGTTAAGTGATTCTAGCAAAAGGTCCTGGAACTGGGAAGGAGTATCTAGAAGGCTGTTTTTAAGATAACTAGACCAATGCAGTGATTTAACCACGCTTTATTCAACTGATAATTTCACCCTCACACTGCCAGATAATGCAACCACATCTAGGCCAGACAACATGAATTCCATTGGGATTCTTTGGTTCCCTGCCTTACACACACACACACACACACACACGCACGCACACACACGCACACGCGCACACACACACACACACACACACACACACACACACACACACACGAAAGCCAGGGATATAACAAGCTAGTTAGTGGAGGAGTATCTGCCTTAACTCATCATGCCACCTTTTTTTTACAGGTATCAGTTGACAATGAGTGGACAGCCCCAGAGTTGATTCCTTCACACCTGATCAACAGCACACTTCGTGTATATTTGGAACTTTGAAGGCCGCTATAAGATTTTGTAAATGTTTATACTTCAATAATGCTTAACTTATTTAACATATTACTATCAATTTCTTAAAATTCTGACTTTTTCAAGGGATGAATTTGGCATCATCCTACATTTAACTTTTAACAGCAAAGTTTGTAACAGTAAATGTGTATTGGGGGAGTTCCCCAATTGATTGACCAAAGACAGGTGGCATCCAAAGGCAGACGGCTCTGCTTTCAATATTCTCAGGCTTTATTGACCAAGCACTCTTCGTTGCTGCTTAGTTTTTCCTCCCCAGCTCTATCCCACCACACAAAGTGCCACAAGTAAACCAGGGTCCACATCATTTTGAAATCACATTGACAGGTATGCTAGCTTTGCTTACAGAACGGATGGATCTTTAGCCTGGATCGAACCCTCTTTTTCTGGGAGGTGAGGAGACAAAAAAAATCCTTCATCCCTGCAGCTAGAGTGGGGGGACCCGTCCTTCAAGCAGCATTTCCTCACATTTCATTGAATCCTATTCTAAACGATCCTCTGATTCTTTTTGAATGATCCAAGGGGTTAAAGAAAGAGGCTGGCTGGCAAAGAGGCCAATGCTCTAGTATCTAATCACTGCCTTAAGTTTTGTACATAAAACAGACCATGTTTTGCATTATTTATGCCAAAGAATCTAATTCAGAAGCTGTTTGTCTAAATTAATGTGCTTTTAAAGATGTAATGTGCTTTTAAAGAATAAACTAAGTTACAGTATAATAGCTGCTTATGAGTTATTAACGATCAATATTCTATTCATTGATACTCAATCAGCTTTGAAAACTTGGTTCCTATGCTATGGAAAGCAAATAACAAATCTTCAAGATTCCATTCAGACATTTTTAATAAAAAATATTTAAAAATATAAGAGGTAGTCAATACAATAAAGGTTTATATTTAGTTTACATTATTGGACCATCCATTTCAGCTTCTGTACAGCAGGTAATATTTCTGCGAGACTTCTGACTTCTGAAACAAAAGCAATTTTGCAAACATTATTTTGCCTTTTCAATTCAACTATCGCCTATTTTTAGATATCCAATGGAGTACTTAAAAGTACTCTATACAATGGAGTATGGCTCTATATTTATACTTTATATTGTAAATGACCAGGGTTGAATATACATTCTAAGGATTTCTTAAATTACATTCATCAGCTTCTGAAACGGAAGGGTTCTTTGCTTGTAATATTGCTACAATTCATAAAAGCATGTCCACATGAAGGCTGAACATGGCTATTTCGGGCTTTTTTCCAAAGTCATCTCACCTACATTCACAGTGGACTCCTCCAATGAAAATGGCAGTAAAAACAAGCAACCCTCAGTGGCAATCCAAGGGGAAGTGTTTTGGGGTCCTGGGATGACCTTAAAATGCTTTCAAAGCAAATGCACCAAGCATCTCAAAAGATGTAGTCACAGCATATCACTCACAGCAACATCATGACTGAATTGTCCTGCTGAATGGTTGGCAATCCCCAATAAAATAAGTAGCCAATATAAAACACCATGTGTACAATCTTTATATAATTACCATGAATTTTGTTGAACGATCCTAAGATCACTTTCTACTTGATTCTGACAGTAAGATTATATAGCATGTAGACATATATTCCAAAAAAGAAAGGATGCAGAGGGAAAAACTACTTTACAATTTTAACTTATTTATAATATTACTTTCTAGACATGTATTAAAATTACAATTGAGCAATAACTTTGGGTAGCCTTTGATCACTTAATTTGTTTTTGACTGATTTACCAGGACAATGGATAATCCCACATGATTATAAATTTCTTTTGAGATATAGTTCAAAAAGTTCAATGGTGCCCTTAAATTCTGGTGAAAACAAAATTCATTTGGAATAATTTACTGAAAGCCTTAGCCTCTCTATTATCATTAATTTGCAGAAAGTGCTTACCTAGAACACGAAGCAAGTTGTTAATAAGAGCATGAAATGCTGGGAAAAAGTCATCATGTTCTTCTAACTTGCAGATAATGCTGAAAAATATCAATTTGACAAACATTCGTTGTCTCATTTTGTAATTTAAACAACATGCCCTAATCTTATCATGATGGTCAACTGATTACAGTTGACTGCAAATTGAGTATGAGATAGCAGCGCGATGTGGCTTCAAAAATATATATATATAGTTTTAGATTTTATCAGCAAAAATGTACAGTCTTCATACAACTATCACTCATTCAGCGACCATTTGAAATTACAATGGCACTGAATGAGGGGACTTATGGCTATTCCTTGTAGTTGCTGCTGTTGCAGGATCCCTGAAGTCACATGATTGTGATTCGGACACTTGGCAACTGGCTGGCAGCCAAGAAGATCATAATATCCACAGTCATGTCATCACCATTTGTGACCTTCATGGCCAGTTTCCAAAGTCAATGGAGAAACCAGCAGGAAATTGCAAATGGTGGTCACAGGATCGCAGGACACTGTGATTGTGTGGCATTCACCTACTAATGGCAACTGGAACTGCTGCAACTGCAATCATAAATCAGTGTGGCCATGTGACATCATGCTTTATGACCCCATCCTTAGGGTTGCCAGTCCCAATTAGCATCATTAAGTGAAGTCTACCTGTGATATCACAAGAATACTTAAGCATAAGAATGAAGCATTCCCTTCTCTTATGATCAGGCCTCACACGTGAAGTATCCATATCAACCTTTGGATACCACACTTTTAAGGAGCACTGTGAGAAAATGGAAGGCAAAGAGGATCAGGTCACTAGAAATTAAGCTCAATTAAAAACTGAAAAAGCTTTCTAAGATTTGCCTTGAATAACATGACTACGATGGTCGTGACAGTGTTCTTCAAATACCTGACAGGACGTCACACCATTCTCTCTCCATTATGCACTTAGAATGTAGGGCTAAAGGCATCTTTCCAAAGCTACTATTAGTTAACTATGAAGATCTGCATACCTTTCAATGTCTTGTGTGCCCAGCAGTTGTTCCACCTGCCAGGCCACGTTCTCATTAAACAAATTGCATAGCTTTCCAACCGTGTTCACCAGGACACTAGGTGGTGCTGAGCAATCTATGAAGAAACACTGTATCAGTTTCTGTGTAACATTTCACAACAGGTAAAAGTGGGAGCAAATGAAACAGCAAGTTCCTCAAAATGGTTGCCAACTCAAACAGCCAAACTAAGCAACACGGGAAAAGGTTGTGCAAGACAGGCATGCCAGAGTTTTTAATGGGAAGGCGAAACCAACAACCCATTAAAACGATTGTGGTGCTGATAGTGGAAGGATAAGACCAACAGGATTAACAGAGCAATCCTGTTATTTTGGAGGCCCTGATATTTCACAAGGCTGGCTTGGTTCATGGCAACAAGATGGGATGGAAGAAGGTTCCTGCCTGTCATTTCTTTACAGGAAGAAAACCTTATTTTATAGGCAATGAGGAAAAAAGGCATTTATCAGAAAGAGAATTTAGGACTGTGTGTGGAGATTGGATGGATTTATTTGAGCAATTTGATTGATTAACTTGTATGGCCCCATCTTGTCTAAAGGCAACTCTGGGTGGCTTACAAACATTAAAAGCTAGTCAACATTAAAACTATAAGTAATAATAATTTACATTTAAAAGAAGGGAAGGAAGGAAGGGAACAAGATGCATATGGGCAGGGCCGGATTTTCCTATAGGCTAACTAGGCTTCAGCCTAGGGCCTCAAGATCCAGAGGGGCCTACACAGTGTGGGATTCTGGGTGTTTTAGGTGGCTCCGCCGAACCCTTTGTTAAATTGCTGGCTCCTCCGCCCCTCCGCACCACTATTTATTGCCAATAAATAGTGGTGGGCGAGGGGCGGGGGAGCCAGCAATTTAACAAAGGGTTCGGTGTTTTTTTTGTAATTTTATTGGCCCCCGGAGGTTCAGCATAGGCTAATTGGCCTCCCGGCTCTCAGCTGATTTGTCTCGGCTGTTTTGCTTCCTTCCAAAGTGCTGATTTTTTTCCCCCTAGCTATACTGAGAAACGAAAGTGAAACTGCTTTGCTGTTGCTGCAAGGTTGGAAAATTAGGCAGGCAGAATTCTTTTCTTTTTCCTCACCAAAAATGGTACGTGCAAACAATGGGAAATTTAGGGAAAAAGAGAAGAGTTCAGGATTTTAAAACACAAAAGAAAAAAAAGCTGTATTTAACTAGGGAATTGTAATAATTGAGATACTATTAATTGTATATTTCTGAAAGGAGAAATGGTTAAGTTGTGGTTTGGAGGAATATATGGGGGAAATTATTTGGTTTATTATTATTGGTAAATATAATTAATGGATTTGTAAGAAATTGGATTGCATGGAAATAATTGGAATATTCATGTTCATATTGATTAATATACAAAAAAGGTAGTTATATAACTAATTGATTTATATTAAAATGTTGAATTTATATTAAACAACTAATATTACATAATTAACCAATGTGAGGATGGATATAAAAATAGATGACAATGGGAAGGGGTATAATATAGAATAGAAGGGAAAAATTGAATTTGATTAAGATTAGAGATGAGGATGAGGGTAATATTGGTTTTTTACAAAAATAGATGAGGAATAAATATGGCAAAAAGGAAATATTGAAATTGTAAATTTAATTGAAATGACTAAACACTGTTTAAATTTGTGAACCGGCCAAATACTCTGTTCAAAGAAAATAGATTGTATGTTTGTATGTGTGTTTCTAATTATTGTTATTTATTCATATTTGTTCTCTTTTATTCTTTAAAGTTTAACAATTCATTCTTTATCTTAATATCTTTATATTTGTTTGGGGTTGGCTTTCTTCCCTTTCATCTTTTTTATTGTATAGCAATCTTTCTCCTCAAACCTACCACCTTTCTTTTCTTTCCTTCTTACTTTCTCTTCCTCCCCCTCTTCTTCTCCTCCCTACTTCCTCTTCCTTTCTCCTTCTCCTTCTCTCTTCCTCCCTCTCTCTCCTACTCTAATTTCTCTTCCCTTCCTTCATCCCTCTCTATTACTGTATCCTTTTATGCATATGGACTACTCAGAGGGCTGAAAAAGTTATTTCTGACTGGTCCTCGCACTTTTGACCAGTCCTCGAACTTACGACTGTCCTCACATTTTACGTTTTTGCCCTATCTTGTCACCATGGTGAAGAGAAGCAGTTGTGAAATGAGTGACATGGTTGTTAAGAAAGCTGCACGGGCATAAATGTGAGGATGGTCATAAGTGTGAGGACCGGTCAAAAGTGCGAGGCCCAGTCAGAAATGACTTTTTTCAGCCCTCTGGGTAGTCCTTTTGTGCATATGGACTACTCAGAGAGCTGAAAAAGTTATTTCTGACTGGTCCTCGCACTTTTGACCAGTCCTCGAACTTACGACTGTCCTCACATTTTACGTTTTTGCCCTATCTTGTCACCATGGTGAAGAGAAGCAGTTGTGAAATGAGTGACATGGTTGTTAAGAAAGCTGCACGGGCATAAATGTGAGGATGGTCATAAGTGTGAGGACCGGTCAAAAGTGCGAGGCCCAGTCAGAAATGACTTTTTTCAGCCCTCTGAAAAAAGTCTATGCACATAGCCACGCCCACCCAGTCACATGACGAGCTACCCACGCCTACACAGTCACGTGACCAGCTAGCCACGCCCACCCAGTCACATGCTTGCCAAGCCACACCCCCAACTAAGCCACGCCCACAGAACCTGTTGTTAAATATTGAATCCCACCACTGGTGAAAGGGCCTCGTAAGTGGAATAGCCTAGGGCCTCTTTCAATCTAAATCCGGCCCTGCATATGGGGAATATATGACAATTTTAACCTGCTTCCCATTTATCCTTCCATAGCTCAAAAAATGATGGGGTTTTCTGTAGAGACATAGCAAAGGAGATACCAGATCTCCTCCATAATGTATTTCCAGTCTTTCTTGTGGTCATGTAATAGAGTCCTGGGAGCTGCAGAATTATTGCCTTATATGGGTTTTTAAAATCCATAAATCCCAAAGACTCAGCGGCAAATCTGACGCTGCATTTAATGGTCTTTTGCAACATGCTTTTGCTGAGCTTGTATGTTACCAAACTTTGAATATTAAAATGAAACCAAACCAAATATGTAGAATTCAATGTGATTTGGTGCCGTGTTCTGTATTTTATTATTCCATCCTCAATTTTTATTTCAATTCAAGTACATTTGCAATTAAGTTTAAGATGCAGAAAAAGCATTTCTCTGAGGTAAAATTGTTATGGCAGCCATCCTCTTCCTGCAAAACCTATCATGCCCTTTCAATATACAGGCACACCACACACATCCCTCAAAGAACACAGCTGAGTTTTTCCTTATCCCCACATTACCCTGGTCTGACTTTGAGCAGGTTAGGGGAAGGGGCAACAGATTCTTACCTAGTTCTAACAGGTCACAGAGGTTCCTCATAGCGTTGATCATTTCACCAAGTTTTGTATAAACCTCATTCATTCGAGGGTAAACGCCATTTAGAGTCTTCACATCAAACAGTTTTTGAAAATGACAGACAATGGCATACAAGGTTTGTTGTGAAGGAATCAGACTTTTCTGTAGGATATGAATAAAAACAAAAGGAGGGCAATAATCATTTCAATTAAACATGGTAGAACCTGGGGATGCATTCTATCTAAAATCTAGGATTCTCCCAGATATAATAACTGGAAAAGAACTAGGGTGTCGTTTTCTAAATAGGCATTATAATTCCACATTACATACATATGAATGCATATGTACTTTCAGGACCAAAATGACATACTATTATTATCATATTTTCACATTAGACTAAGACTTCTGAATAATCAGAATTTTTGAACAAGATTACCTTTTCTTCATTGCCTACTTCTTCAGAGATTTCCTCCACTATTTGCTGAAGATCCTCAACTCTAATATATTCATTAGTGTCCTGCATAGTTTTGGAATGCCAAGGAACTAACCGCAGAAATAGCTTTTTCAGGGACTGGTGCAAGATCTTGAAAGAACAAAAGAAAGATGTTGATGTGTTACTCTTATTCTTTTGGGCTTTCAATGTAAGAATTCAATAGTATACTGTGGGAAGATCAGGTTCCCTGTATCCTTCTCAATTAAAATCAAATCATTTCAAATGAGGCGAGAGAAAGACTTCTCAGGATAAAGTGTAAAAAATTCTTTGCTGCGAAATACATTCGTTTATTATTTAACTACTTGTATGTTGAAATTAGAGGGTCGCGGTAGCTCAGTAGCTAAGACGCTGAGTTTGTCGATCGAAAGGTCGGCAGTTCAGTGGTTCGAGTCCCTAGTGCCATGTAACAGGGTGAGCTCCCGTTACTTATCCCAGCTTCTGCCATTGAAACGGTGATGAGCACCGCCCCCTAGGAACAACTAGCAGATATGTGCAAGGGGAACTTTTACCTTTTTATGTTGAAATTACACTCATTGAAAATGAGAACAAAGATATGTGGAAAACACAAAGGATGTTCACTGGAAGAACCAGGGACAGGGGCAGGTCCCTAGGCTGAAGAGAGCAGTCAAAGATCACCAGTACCTTCAGGGCCATTAGCTGATCTGCCCAGGTTTCAATCACAGCAGGGAGATGCTCAAATCCACTTTCCTCCTCAGCCCAGCTTTTCCCAAGGCCCTTTTTCTGCGTAAGTGTTATTAGAGGAGCTCTTCTTGGGCTTCTGATAATAGAGTCAATGCTGGATAATACCTTTAGTGTTAAAATATTAGAAGGAAGAAACATTATTTACTAATTTTTATGTAATGTTCCAGACAGCCACTTGTCTGAAGTAACATTGATTATATCTGAGGAATACTGAGCATAATCCAGTCCTAGTTAAAATTCCAAGTTTAAATGGACAGTTAGGCAAATGTTCAACTCTTTCATTGAAATAATAAGATCTCAGAGAGTTACACTTCTCTTGGGTTTTGATCCAACAGCGATTAGGATGGGCTTTCTATTATGAAGTATCTGATAATCAGGCTTCTTCCTATTCACCAACTCCCAAATGTATCAATCTTTCACTATGTCCCTGTGTTTCTATATTTAGCAAGGAAACTACATTTTTAACACAGAATATATGATTTAATTAAACATGCATGGTACTATTCAGTGAAACTGGCTTTCTAGCTATATTATATTTATTAAGTACACTGTTTTGACCAATATAGTTGGTCAGTCCAGGCACAACAGCAAACCATAATTTAGCACTGCATGAACAAGCCTGCTCCAATTTTTCCTTATGTGCTTTCACTAAGCAAAATCAGTTTGTCTGGGAAGTAACATTAAATTGTTATTTGGTTTGCAAGCTTCTTTTGGAGGTGATTTCTAAGTAAATTCTAGTTCACACAAATAATAAAAATGGTTTAAACTGGAAGACAGACTGGTAGTCATGGAAGTCACAATGAAAAAAGCCACAAGCATAATTTCACTTGCACCTGACTAGAGTGATGTGTGGTAGTTTTGTTCTCCCTGAAATGCAAATGATAAGAAAATAGGTATTCCATACTGCAAATGTTACATTTACTAAACAGCAACATCAAGTAGATTACACTGTAAGAAATACAGCATTCCCAGATAGAAGCTATGGTCTTAGCAGTTATCAGAGCAGTACAATTCTGCAATCTGAAAATACATGCTGTCAGCTGGTAACCCAGTGGGATTATTCTCAATACAATCAAGAAGCATGATGGATGATTTAGGAAAGGCTTCGATTCTATTGTCGCCAGATGGCTTTTTTAGAGGAAAAGGGAGTTAAATGAGCAGAAGCTTTTAATAAAGGCATATTTTCTGGCTCAGTTACATACTTAACTGGGAAAATATGGCTTCCTGCCATAGGATGCAGCTCACTGCCTTTTCCTTCTCTTTCTCATTTAAATAAGATATATAAATTCAAGGAATTATAATTTGTCAAAATTCAAGTTAGGGAACAAATCAGGAGCTGAAGCCCTGATTTGCTCCTAAGTTTTTCTTTTCCTGAGAATCTAAAACAAACCTCTGTGTTAAATAGGCTAGGTTAAATTGAAAGCATCAGGCTTTTCATAACTAATCACAATATCCTTGTAGCCATGAAAGAGGAGAACAGTAATGAACAGTAAACCTGAGAAAACTTTTCTTCATGTTATATTAGGATGGGGGTTCTTTGCAGAATTTCTGCAACAGAAATCCACACTCACCTGTAAATATCTTCTGCAAACTTCCTGCAGCTGGCTCCCTCCCAAACCATTTTTAAGTTCTTTGTTTTCTTTCATGTTTTCTTCTTCGCTGCTCTCAGGTGATCTAACAAGCAACCAAGAAAGGAAAGGGAGAGACACTAAATAAATTGCTCCATGCCTTAAAGACCAAACACAGAATAAACAAAACCTAAAGTAAACTATATGGTCAGCATCTACATAAATAAGAAAAAAATAATTAGAATGCAATCTTTCACAAGATGTTTTACACAAATCATAACTTTCAAAACACAGAAAAACTACAAATTATAATAACAACAAATGGGTTCACTGGCTCAGGTTATACTCCTTGTTTTTCCCTTTGGCTGTGCTCCCATTTTGGCTTCCTCTCTTTTAAAGTGTCTAACCCAAGATTTCAGATCAATAATCACTACACCGTCCCCATTTTTATCCATCTACAAAACAGGTTAATGATTAAGGTTTATTCAAAATGCATTACTTGATGTTCTTCAGTATTTTCTCCAGCTTTTTCACTTGGTGTTTATAAAATTTTAATTCTTGTAGTGTTGGCCTGAAGGGAAGAAAACAGTTCTGTCAAGTTTCGGGACAAAAATATTTGTCTTGTAGATTTATTGCTGTTTGTTGCTTTTACAAGGCCAGTAACACCCTGCCAAACATTCACCAGATCATGCCTCTGTTGCTCTCAGTAAGTTTATTAAATGGTCATCTGTTGTTATGACAGCATGAATCAGGTACTTGAAAAATGGCTTGTAGAGATTGTTTGATGTTCAGTAGTGAATGTTTTCACACAGAATTTAAGATCCAGGATTTAAATCAAATCCGTGCATGAATGTTGCACTGAAATTGTTTTGACCACTCACCTAATTTCCATCTCTTTCTTGAGATTAATATTTTCACACACAAGTTGTTCATTTTGAGCTTTTGTTTCAATTATCTGTGTCTGGAAAGACTTGGAAATATTTATTACAAATATTACACTCATACATATGCATGCAAACAAAGCATCTTCTCATTTGTCCTAACAATTAGGTAGATGGTTAATGAATAGGATATATTAATAAATGCTGAAAAATAATGGCTTACTTAAAGTTTGACCCAAGAAATCCAGAGTTAATGGTTTTTTTAAAAAACTAAAAACTCCTTAAAATAAAATTTCCAATGATTTAAATCCATGTATTTAACTACTTGAAAATATCTGAAGATATAAAATGTAACGTGCAATGCTTTATCTTTCAAATTGAATTGGTAAATAAGAACAGGAAGATGAATTTCTGTATCTGGCAGAATGTTTACAAAAAATGGGAAAATGGAGGGAAAAATTAGGAAGATTCTAGTGGAAAGATAGCAGACTTTAAGATGCAAAAAATGAATACCTGCTGAAAAAAGCACAATGGGTTTGTGATATACATAGTATTTACAAACTATGATGATAGAGAATATATGTAGCTCAGGGTTGGAGTATAGGGTTATGTGGGTTCTCTAAGCTTCGTTTTTCATTTGTAGACATTAGTGGGATACATTTGAAGACTATCAACCAATACCTTCAGCATAATCCTAAAGTGAATCACACTATAATTTACCAACTGGGAAAGTTATAACTTTATGCCCAGAGGTTGTCCAGATTCCAGATGTACCTCTAGGATTATACAGTATTTCCTTACCATAAGCAGAGCTTTGTAATTAGCAGTAGAATCTATATTCTTCAAGAATTCATCCTCATCTTTTCCTTCGTCTTGTAAATGATTGATCTCTTTCTTGTATTTCCTATGAAGGAAATTGGGTAAGTTTCACTTAAGCGAAATTTACAGAAGTACAAAACAAACTTTTACATTTAACAGCGTGAATTTGTTCGGCCGAAAAAATGTTTCTTTTTCCATCTTCCTTCCCTTTGCAAGTTCGCTCCAAAGAGTTTGAACACATGCAAAAGAAGCAAAGTCTATTCAAAAAATATTGGATGCGATGTAAGGTTGTTATGTCAGCTGGTTGACCCTACGAATTTTAAATAAAATTTTTAATATATCTCAGTTATGATTCAGGTTGGGATAAGTAAAGTGATCTTCCAAATATTTTTGAGCTCTAACTTCCATCAGTCTTTGACAGCATGACTAGTGATGAAGGCTGATGCGAGTTACAGTCTACAAGTGGTTGGGGATATCTCGCCACAATGTCTCTCTTAACACTTTTGTCATCTAAAGTATACCTTGCAGCATAAGATAAGTCACAAATTGTATAAGACCAACCATTTTACCTACCTTAGTTCTTTTCTCACATGGCTGATCTGAGATTCATAATGATCAATTAGGCAACAAATCCTAAAAAAGAAGAATACCCTAATTTAGCCAATATAAATCAACAAATGTTAAATGTGGATATCTCACTCTGCCCTAAGAATAACTTTTATAAGAAAGAATGTGAACTTGTAGACAAAGTTTAGTTCACTGTAATATCTTTCCTTAATAGTTCGTTCTGTTTTTCTGCTATAAACTCAACTATCAAAGATAGCCATTAAATACAAAGGTAACAATTTTTAAATTATATGTATGCCATTGAGAAAGATTAGGTTTTGCAGAAAATGTTATATTACGATATATCAGAAAAAATATCCACATTTATAAATCCATTGAGTCAAGAAAATAATTAATAATATTGAATGAGCACAACATAAATTAAAACAGAGCAAATAAAATAATTGCAATAATTCTCAATTCAAAAATTAAAATAAGAACTATTTTTTCCCCTAATATTTAAATTTAAGTAGTATATACATATGCAACTTAAACTTCCCTAATAGGGGTTTCCTTTTTTGTGGAAATTAAATTATATCCAAACAATTGCCGGATGAATATGGGAAGCTAGAGACTCTGTAAATTTCACTCTGTTATTGCCGCTTGTAGCTGATGAGCATTATGGGCCAAAACATCTGGAGGAGAAAGTAGAAACTGGTTTTTAAAAATATGAAATCTAAAATGGTATTTCCAAGATGGAGCCACCCATCGTATTTCATACTTTACTGATTAACAATCCTGTTTAAATTTTGGAATTCTGTACAGTACTTTTCCATCAATGTGTTATGTAAATAACATAAACCCAAGCCATATGGATGCAACTTTTATATGTCCCTAAAGAAAGGATATACAATTTGAGATGATAGCAAACACATTGCAGATTTGTAATTAGACTCAGGTATATTAACATTATCTAAAACCATACAAATATTGTTGATGTAGATATGTGCTTTGGATTATTTTAAGTCTACAATATTTTTTTAAGAAACAAAGAGTATGGTTGAGACAGATATTAGTTGTTGCTAGAACTCTGGAATTAAAAAATTGGAATGACTCATATGAATAAATCAATGTTTAAGAGTTTTAAAACACAGGAGTAAATCTGTTTGTGGTTATGTTTTGTATGATCGTAGAATGAGACTAATCCAACAAAGAATTTCAAATTGACAACCGATAAATATTAAAAAGAACTGGTGTGAACCTTGTTACTGTACCTGGAAGTGTAAAATGGGTGAGGGGACATTTCTATGATATAGGTATGTTCCACTATCACCTAGTGCCAATTTCATATTCATAAATTTTTATTTATTTTATATTTATTTATATTTAAATTTATATACCGCCCTTCTCCCGAAGGACTCAATATTGACAAATAAATTTGTCAATAAGATATTAAAAGTGCAGTATGGTTTAAGAATATAAATTTACTAGAACTATATATAAAATGTTTGGATATTATCACTTTGAGCGAGATAGGTGGTTTAGAAATATGAAATATAAGAAAAGAATACAAATACAGTGCAGCAAAAAAAGTTCTTTGATATTTCAAAGATAATGTGAGACCAGAAGGATTCAATCTAGGCTCACTTACATATATTCCCTTTTAATCTATAAAGTAGTTTGCCAAGGCTGATCAATATTTCTTTGTGAAATCAAGAGTAAATTATAAATTGGGCTAAGTGACTTTTTCCTTTATGTATATTTTACTGGGGCTGTGGGAGGCTTGACACTGATTTTTTTTCTTTATTTGCACATCAAAGCATAAGCATAAATATTTTAAAAAAAAATTATGCATAAGCATGAATATTTTTAAAAAGAAAAAGTACAATGTGTAATGCAGAGAACAACTACCTAACATGAATTCCTAGGTAAAATCACATTTAATATGTTACGAACATACACACACACACACACACACACACACACACACACACACTTAGTTTAAAAAAAAGCATGCAGAATTTCTTACTGCTGATCCAAGTGAGTTCTTGGAGCCTGCTTACAAAACTGGCGGAACACTTTTTTCTGAGTGGCGATACGCTGCTGCTCTTCCAGACCCAGCTTGGAAAGCTCCTTTTGTAAATGGCCAATCGTCTTTTCTTGCTCCTCCAATTGTTTCGCTTGGTGGCAGTATACTGCCTGGTTCAGAAAACCAGAAAATTGCAAAAAAAAAAAAAAAAAAAAAAATTACTAGCTGGCCATACTATCAATTTACTAGCTGGTCATACAATCACCAAGAGCCTTGGTGGTGCAGCAGACTAAAGTGCTGTTAAGTAGCACCAGCTGCCTGCAATTACTGCAAGTTCAAATCTCACCAGGCTCAAGGTTGACTCAGCCTTCCATCCTTTCGAGGTAGGTAAAATGAGGACCCGGATTGTGGGGGCAATAAGCTGACTTTGTATAAAAAAGAACACCGCTTAGGGGGGGCCGAAAGCCCTACTAAGCAGGTATATACAAAAGTATGAAGGCTATTGCTTAACGCATTGTAAGCCGCCCTGAGTCTCCGGAGAAGGGCGGCATATAAATCGAACCAATAAATAAATAAATAAATAAATATTCAAGAAAACATCTGCCTTCTATAGCCAGAGATAACACTTTTCACTTTTTTTCTTGCATATTCATTAAAGGCAGGAGCTTCCAACCTTGGCAACTTAAGACAGCAGGGCTCACTGGAGAATTTTAAAGTTGCCAAGGTTGGACACCTCTGATTTAAAGTATAATAACCACCTGCTGCTCTTGACATAATGCAATTTAGAATTCGTTTTGCAGCTGCTGTAGTTCTTTAAAAGCCTCTCATCTATAATAAACAAACCTTCCCGGAATTTCAAACTCCGAACAGTATTGAAGTACCTGTGAAATTTCATGATCTTTTTGAAGATCTCTGATTTGGTTATGTTGCTGAGAAGCATTGGCTATTGACTCGTCTTCTAGCTGACGTATTTTATGTTTCACATTTTCCACAATAACGTCCAAATCATTCGCTCGTTGTTCCTGTCGGGAAGCCCGACTCCTCTCCAAGCGTAATTCATCTCTAATTAAAAACAAAACCAAACAAAAATAAACTTTAGTGAAACAATAGGCTATCCCCAAATATAGGTAGTCCTGAAACTTATGACCACAATTGAGCCCAAAATTTATGTTGTTTAGTGACAATCTGTTAGGTAAGTTTTGTCCCATTTTACAACAATTCTTGCCACAGTTGTTAAGTGAATCACTGCAGTTGATAAGCTAGTAACCTGGTTGTTAAATGAATCTGGTTTCCCCATTGACTTTGTTTGTCAGAAGATTGCAAAAAGTAATCATATGACCCCAGCATGCTGCAACAGTCATAAGTATGAACCAGTTGCCAAGCAACTGAATTTTGATCACATGATCATGGGGATGCTGCAAAGGTTGTAACTGGGAAAAACGGTCATAAGTCACTTTTTTCAATGCTGTTTTAACTTTGAATGGTCACTAAATGAACTGTTGTAAGTCAAGGACTACCTGTAAGTTCAAATCAAAAGTAACATAAGAGCGTTCATCTAAAAGACTGTATCACACAATTTGCTAATGCACATTTGTTTTAATAATGGTTTTTGAACAAGCTATAATGATTTAGTTCAGAAGTTAGAAAGCATGGATTACAAAGGAAAAAGGCTGGATTTATTTATGGGGTGGGAGTAGGGATAATTTGTGGCCCACACATGTTATTTAATTCTATAATAGCCAGTAGAGTTTAATAAAATCAGAGATTCATGGGTGAATCAACCCTGCAATAATCCAAGCTAAAGAAACCACCTTAGAGCTTGGTTCATAGTATTATATGGTATTATCCTGGGTAATACATTAAAACCTAAATAGCCAAAGATCATGGATATCCAATCTTTTGGCTTGCCTGGGCTGCACTGAGTGAAGATGAATTGTCTTGGGCTGTGTATAAAATATATAATATAGTTAATGTATATAAATTATGTAATGATGTTAAAAGTTTATGAACTTGTGGAGCCACATTACTAGCTGTCCAAGGCTGATGTAATCCATGGGCCACAGATTTGGACATACCTGGTCTAAGTCATGCCTCCTAAAATGCACAACCCAGAAGAAAGCATCAACCTGGACTTACTGTAATAAAGGAAGCTCATTATGCTGCCAAGAAGCTTTATTGTCATTCCTTGCCCAGTAAGAACTCAAGGGAATGAATCTACACTGAAAGCATGGAATTCTGACTGAATGTTAGCTTTTCACTGAATCTTTATTAAATGGAAAAGTTTGCAGTGATGAGGAGAGCATGCAGGGAGTTTCCAAAATGCCACAGCAGAACAGAAAACCTTTAAAACAAACAGAGCAACCATAAGACTAAGGGGCTAAGTGAAAACTGGGAAGTGAGACAACAGATAGATAAATGGATGGATGGATGGGAGGGAGACAGAGGGGGGTGGGCGGGATGAAGGGAGAGAGAGGGGGGTGGAGGAGAGAATTCTGTATATTTCATCTAGAGCAGGGATGGGCAAATGTGGCTCTTTTACAACCTGTGGACTTCAACTTCCAGAATTCCTCAGCCAGCTTGGCTGTCTCAGGAATTTTGCGAGTTGAAGTCCACAGGTTGTAAAAGAGCCACATTTGCCCATCCCTGCTCTAGAGAATGACATCCAATTGAAGTCTAAGAAAGTATCTTACCTAAGTTGGTGATTGTCTTCTATCAAACCACGAATAATTTTTCGTTGACGCTCTGTCTCTTCCAGTAATGTTTTCAGTGCATGCTGTATTGTTTCGGAAGACGATTTGTCCATAACAATTTTCTCTGCGTCTGGTATTTTAAAAAATAAATGCCTTTTAAAGACATTATTTTAAAGCATCTCCCAATCAACTAGAATGCTAAATGTGTACCATGTAAGAGATGGCACAAGGTAAATAATTCTAATTACTAATAACAAAGCAAGTGCCTTTAATGATACATTCTATATAGCTGGGCTACATGGAAGCATGCTATTAACGAATGTTCTTTGGGAAATACTATGCTTCATTTATATCTACTGAATAGAAACATACAAAGTCATCTAGTAGCAGCATCTTTACTCAAGACTCTGGCATAAGCGTAAGTATAGCATAACTAATACTATAAAGGGAGGCAGACATAAGATAGGAAAGCAAAACATAAATAAATGAAACTGTAAATGAAATCTCAGCCCTGAAAAAAATTAAGCTTAAGGAAAAGACTAAAAATAATCCTCTTACTTCTGCATGTTATAAGAGAGGACAAATGAAACTCTAGCAGGCATTAAAGCTTCTGATGTTATATTTACAACAAAAAAGTAGGATTCATAATTTTTGCAATGTCTGATTCTTGACCTGACCTGCCCCAAAAGGCTGACAATGCCCTAATATTCTTACATTGACATGACTAATAAACCAATAAGAAATTAGTAGAACTTTTTTCAATATCAATATTATGATTCATTTTTTAAACAATGAAATAAACACAGACCATACAGAATTGTTTAGTATGAGCTTATCTTTCCTGAAAATTGATAAATTTCATTAAGCCAACTTTTGGAGTCTGGAACATGAGTATGCTTCTATCGCTATAACTGGCCATTTTTTTTGCAAGTGTCTAAATTCAATATTCAATATCTAAGTTCTTCATAGACTGAAAGAATTCAGATTTTAAGGATATTAATCTAGAAAGAGTAACTCTTTAATTCCTACCTGCCTGGTTCATTATCATCATAATACCTTATCATTGGAGCTTCCTAGAGTTTGACATTAGATGGCACTTAAATAAATAACCAATAAAGAATCACAAAAGGACCCTATTTATACCCAATGTTAGACACGTCCTCAAACGCTGAATATAGAACAATATTAATAAGAGCTGAAGTCCAAGGTTAGGGATAGATCTTCAAGGAGAAAAGTTATCTACATGGCCGCTAAGAGTTGACAACAATTTGATGGCATGTCAATCATCATTATTACCTGGCTCATTAATAGTAACATACTTCAGTGTATAAAACAAAGATGATTAAGAGCCAGCAGCCCAATCCCAACCTGACATATGAACTATACCATACTCATCAAAATAAATGCTCCAACCTCAGCAATTTGCAGACATCAACTCTTTAATGTTTTCAGCAATGGCTAAGCTGTCTGGGGAATTCTTGGAGTTTTGCATGTTGAATCTAACTGATGGTACTTGTATTGGCAAAGGGGGAGTCATTCAATTGTAGAAGACCTGAGCCTCGTGGAGGATTCTTAATTTGGGAGAAAGAAGTTTGGATGTGGTGTTCTTAAGACCTCAACAATGTACCGTGTTATCATCATTCCTTGCTTGAAGGAAAACTGTAAGCATAATTCAAGTATTCATAATTTAGTACTTGTATCTTTTTCAAGCTATAAATATATTTTGTTTTCATGTAATTATATCCCAGCCATTTCATATTGAGGAATGCCCTGCATAGTTTTATATGCTAAGGAATCGCATTGCATCCTATGGGATAGGACCATTTAAAGTTGTCCTTAACTACTGAAAACTCACTTTACCTGTCCTAAATTTCTTTCTTACATTGATGGGTTACCAATGTTTCTCTTGTATCACATACTGCTCAGAACCATTTGGAGTGGATATGCACAGAAATGTCAGTAGTAAATAATATTTTATAAATATATTAAGTATTTAAGTATCTAAATCTTCAAACAGTAACAGAAGTGCAAGACTCTACTGTAGTGAGTTTAAATTAGTTTAGTAAAAAATTTGATTACCTGGCACATTTCCGCGACTTCCAGGCATATCAAGGCACACAGGTCTTAGGCCATGTTGTCTTAATAACTTGTTTAAGTTTTCCCATTCTTGATCTTGCTACAGGGGAAAAAAATAGAAAGTTTTTCATATTATAATTACAAAGCATTGCCAGCTTGTTCTCTAATGCAATCCTCTGAAATTGCTCCTAACTGGTCACCTAATATTGCTATTTCATGGTAAAATTCTGAAAATAGACACGGTAGCAAACATACCGGGGGAGAGAGAGCGCTACATATCACAAGCTTTCTCAAGTTTAAGTCAGGGATGAAATGTAAAATTTGTTACTACCGGTTCTGTAGGCATGGCTTGGTGGTGGTGGGGTAATGTGCCTGGGTGGGCGTGGCCATTTTTTTTTTATTATTATTTTTCAAAGCATTTTTTCTAATGCTTTGAAAAGCCTCTGCCGATCAGGCAACTCAGCTGGGATCGTCAGAGAGGCTTTTTAAAAAATACCTCTCTGCTGATCAGGCAACTCAGCTGGGATCGTCAGAGACTTTTCAAAGCATTTTTTTTACGACCTCTTCGGCCAAGAGGTTGCAGAAAAAAATGCTTTGAAAAGCTTCTGATGATCCCAGCTGAGCCGCGCGATCATCAGAGGCTTTTTTTTTACTTTTAAAAGCATTTTTTCGTCGGAAGAGGTGGTAGAAAAAATGTTTTGAAAAGTTTTTTTAAAAAAAGCCTCTGATGATCGTGCAGCTCAGCTGGGCATGGGGGGGGGGCACAGGGATTTTTGCTACCAGTTCTCCGAACCACCCGCCGCCATCGTTACCGGATCAGATGATCCAGTCCGAACCGGGAGCATTTCACTCCTGGTTTAAGTCCTTTGCTTTTTCATTCTAACAGTGAAAGAAGGGCCTTATTATTTTCTCAGTTTTACATATGACATAAAAGTTGAGAGTTCATAAATCAATTTTATATCGTTTCTATTTTACTGATTTTAATATAGACCTGTGAACCAATAATATCATTTATCCAGTCTGTTCCACAATGCTTTTCTAGCATCCTCCTTCTGAACTTTCATTACAATACTGTACCTCCAATTAAACACTTCAGTTCTTAAAAACAGTATAATACAGAGTCTTTATTATTGTAGCTATATGATCCCAGCATGTGGATATTTTGGGTATTAGATTTCACCATCACAAAGACTCTATTGTCCTCTTTGGGCAGTCTGCAACTTTAGATGCTTTGAAAAGCACGTCCACAAAATTATTTATCACTAAGGCTTGATTCGTAACCAATGAACCACAGGTAAGAATTTCATCTCAATAAAGACTCATTAAGTCACTCCCATAAACCCGAGGAGGGCTTACAAATTTAACAACTATCCATTTCCTCACAGCTCTTTTTGCACCTTGTTCCAAAGGACTGAAACTCTGAAACACTAATGAAGATGTTAGAGAGGAAATTAATGCAGATTGCCTCCTTCCCTTTTCTCTGTATCAGTCTATGGACAGAATCAATAAACAGAAGCCTCTCTTGAAAATCTAGGATTCATACTATTATGTTCAAACACACATATGTGACAATTCTTCCCATCCTATTTAGCAATGAAATCCTAGTGAGTTTATTTCTAGGAAACCAGGCTTAGAACTGTAGTCTTACATTTAACATAATATATGAACAATGTTATACAGAAGCAGATTATACATAACAGCTCCAAAGCTTATATTGAGATATGATAATCCATAATATAAATTGATAAGGTGCTTTTAGAACACCTTATCTTAATCTTTATTAAAATTCTGAGATGGCTTAATACACAATTGGCAAGAGACCCTGCAAGTATTACTGACCTGAATACTGGCATACTGGCTACAGCAGATAAGAATTTGAACCTAACATTACACAGTGAGTTGTAGGCACTCCTATTGCTCTTTAGTAACTTATTATTTCTATATAATATTATATTAACATAAAAATAATGCAGCAAAATTTGTATAATAAAACATTTTGAACAATATAATAAAAATTTGAACGATGTAAAATATGAAATAACACATTTTGAACTACTGAACTTTTGCTGAAAGTAATTCAATTCTATGTGACCTTAACATGCTATTATTTATGCATGGTTCAACAAAGATATACCTCCGTCATTGTAATTTTGAACTCTTGACTTTAGTTGACCAGTCGATATGACACCTATTTTTTCTGAAATCTGAAAATGGAAGAAGACATAGGAAAAGCAAAAAAATTAAACAGCATTACAGCATGAGGAAAATTGATCAATGCTATGCTATGTACTGTTTTATAGCTCAAATGTCTCACATGTATAAATATTAAAAAAATACAAAAAATTAATTTGCCAGAAGCAGCCTTCAAAGACAAATCAATTCCTCCCAGATTTTGAAACGAGATTCACTTAATATAGGGCCCTTCCCCACTACTAAGTTGAAGCTATCTGTATTGGCATAAAAGTTGTGTTGTCCCCATTGTCTGACTCTACTGTACCTCTATTTTAAGTTACAGCAGTCCCCTGATTTCACTCCATATTAATGGACGATATAGCTATGCAGCATTTGCATTTGCATTCAATCTTCAAAATGTTGTTTGAAACATGTGAGAACCTTCGGTAGCATGTTCCTGGGAAGAGTTAAGAGCTGCTTCAAGAAGTTCCAAGTAGGTGAAGCAACCTCTGGGAGATCTGATCCAAAGTGCGGCAGAGTCCTAATAAGTTTCAAAGCCTAATTCAGTATCCCTTCAGGATGCCCTTGGATAGTGTCACAAAAGGGGGAAACACTTCTTTAATACTAAGACAGCAGTCTGTCTTGCTGTCTTACTCATGGCTAACAGATGAGATAAAGACATAACATGGGGATATAGAATAAAAAAGGATATTGACAGGGCATGCTTGCATTGTTGTTCAAGAAAAATGTGAAATTATACTTAGCATCCCTAAAACTAAATGGGACTGCTCAATTTTTCTTTATAAAAAGAAACAAAAGCTTTACTTGTGTTTTTCTAAGAGCATATTCAACAGCTTCCTGTGGCTACCAGTGGCTACCAGGTTAAATAATCAATCAGGACTGTCACTGCAAGATATCAAAACAATTTCCAAGCTGGTGGGGAAACCTCATTCAAGCAAGAAAATCATTTACAGATAGTCCTCGACTTACCACCACAATTGAGGCCAAAATTTATGTTGCTAAGGAAAACATTTGTTAAGTGAGTTTTGCCCCGATTTTACAATCTTTTTTGCTGCAGTCGTTAAGTGAATCACTACAACTCTTAAGTTACTAACATGGAAGTTAAGTGAATCCTGGCTTCCCCACTGATTTTGCTTCTCAGAAGGTTGCAAAAGGTGATCACATGACCCCAGGACACTGCAACCATCATAAAGGATGCAGTTGCCAAGCATCCAATTTTAGATCACATGACCAGGGGGATTCTGCAACAGTTGTAAGTGTGAAAAACGGTCACGAGTCTTTTTCACTGACATTGTAACTTTGAATGGTCACTAAATGAATGGTCGTAAGTCAAGGACTACCTGTACTGTACATTCTTTCTCCACTGGATGACCTGAGATACCAGAATAGGGATAGGGTTTTTTTTTCGTTTTTTTTTTTTTTTTTAAATTTGATTTATATGCCGCCCTTCTCCGAAGACTCAGGGCGGCTTACAATGTGCTCAGCAATAGCCTTCATCCTTTTGTATATTTATACAAAGTCAGCTTATTGCCCCCACAAACTGGGTCCTCATTTCACCTACCTTAGAAAGGATGGAAGGCTGAGTCAACCTTGAGCCTTGGCGAGATTCGAACCCTGCAGTAATTGCAGGCAGCTGGTCTTAATAAGCTTAATAACAGGGTGCCTTAAACCCCTGTACTACCAAGGCTCTGTACTACCAAACTCTATGTGGTTGCTAGGAGTTAAAAAACCTGACCTGATGGCTCATAATCAATCAATCTCTACTAGCTGACTCCAGCTAAGTACACTCTTAAGCATTCCCTTCCACAGGATCACACACATATCCCAAATATTTTGAGATGTGAAACTCAAATGCATTTTTTAGGATGGTAATCCAAGCTTTGATCCCATCCTCACTGTCAACACTGAAAGTAAGACTTACTAACGAGCAGCTACATCTACATCTGGTGAAAATATTGGACATCTCCAGTGGTGGGATTCAAATCATTTAACAACCGGTTCTCTGCCCTAATGATTTCTTCCAACAACCAGTTCACCAAACTGCTCAGAAAGTTAACAACCGGTTCTCCCGAAGTGGTGCGAACTGGCTGAATCCCACCACTGGACATCTCTCCCCTTAATTAGCACTGCCTAATACATGATGTGAGAAGCGTGGGATAACGATGCAAACTGGATCGGGTAACATTGGCAAGGCAGGCAATGGCATTTACTCTAAAGAAGCCAGACACAAAAATAGGAAGTTGCCTGGGACCCTCAACAGAACGCAGAACAAACTGAGTTTATACAACCTTGATTATTCTTACGGCTCGGTTTACAAGTCTGCTTATGTTCGATCATAACGTTATAAAACCGCAGTCCCGATCGAATCTGTTATTAAACACCGGCCAAAAAGAAAAGAAACAAAACCCCCGATGCTCAGTTTCTCTACGACGAGCAAAAAGGAACAAAAGCTTTACTAGCGACGCCAAGAGGCCTCTCTCATCAAGACTTCAACCCATAAGAAACTAAGGTTCACCGGAGAGAGGCTGCTTTAAATGGACCACGGCTCCCCGCCTTAGCCCACCAGCCAGGCCCTCCGGCTCCGAACTGCTCGAGGGGTTCTTTCACGCCGCCTCCTTCGCTCCGCTCGGCCAACAAGAAGATCGCAGAGGCAGCAGGCGCCTTCTCTCCCGCTGCCTCTGTCTGCTCGGCGGAAAGGCAAAGGCGAGAGAGCTTCCGCGGCCGTTAAAGGCGGGCTCACAAGCTGAAGTAGAGCCGCCCCTGGGTTTGGCTTCCAGTCTCCACCTCTTGGCTCTTCTCAAGCGGCTACGGGCGTAGGGGGAGGAGGAGAAACGCTTGCAAAAACGTCTGTACACAAACCTATCGGTTCTGCCAGGTTACGCGCAAAGCTCAGCTGAACCCCGGCCCTAGCTGACCTCCGGATTAATTTCAGAGCCCTAAAAATGCTAGACACGTTTCAGGTTCAGTTCCTGGCAGCAGGGATGTCATTTTTTATTTTTTGGCTGCCGGGCTTCTTAGGCTTTATATACTCCGCAGGTATATTCGATTTAATCGACGAGGCTCGTCTGGTCTCCAAAGAGAGGACTTGCCTGTGGAGTTATTCTTAGCAGTGGTTATTAAGGGAAAAGTTATTCGAAGGAGAATAGGGGATGCTGGCTGCAAAGATTGCCTTCCTACTTAAATGAGATGAAAGCCTCTGCTCTGGAGATGGAGATTGAGCTTCCCAAAAAAGAGAGATCTCTGCCTTTTAGTATCAATATTTTCTGTAGTTGTTCACCAGTAGGAAAACAGTGGAGGAGGAAGCTTATTTCCATTTTTAGCACTCCATATCTTCTTGTGGTATCAATAAAATGCCTCAAAAGAGGTTATCAGGATCAGGGGGGGGGAAAGACCCTCTTTTGTACTAAAAACATGACATAGGCAATCTTTTCTTAGAAGAACACCCCCAAACCAGAGTGCTGTTTTTAAAGAGGGGGAGGGGGTTTCTCCAGTGAGCAACCCCTGTACTTCATCTGTCGGAGACATACAGAGGTCCATATTATTTATTTCATTAGATTTTTTTTTAATCCCACCTTCCTTAACAAGATTATAACCGTTGATCCAAAATGCTAAACTTAAAATATGCCTGGCTAGTTTGCTTCTCAACATGATAAAGGCAGTCTAGTCAGTTAGCTTATAGTTTGATATACTGCTCAAAAAAATAAAGGGAACACAAGCGGAAGACATCCGAGATCTGAATGAATGAAATAGCCTTATTAAATACTTCGTTTGTTACATACAGTAGTTTTGTGTTCCCTTTAGTTGTTTGAGCAGTGTATAAACTACTGTATGTAAAGAACAAAGTATTTAATAAGGCTATTTCATTCATTCAGATCTCGGATGTCTTCTGCTTGTGTTCCCTTTATTTTTTTGAGCAGTGTATATTGTGCAAACTTGCTAAATTAACTGGACTGAGTGCTAATTACAGATTAGCAGGTTAGAACCATAGAATGTAAAGAGCTGTAAAGAGTAAAGATCATCTAGTCCGACTCCATTTGGTGCGGGAATCCGTTACTGCAGCATCCCTAAAAGAGAGCCATTCAGACTGCTTAACAACTCCAGTGAAAGAGAAACCATCCAACACCTCCCAAAGTAATGTTTGATTTTTTTTTTTAATTGGCTCTCACCATGAGGATTTTTTTTCCCCCCGGTGTCCAACAAAATCTATTTCCTTGCAATTTAAACCAAAGGATCCTTGCTTGTCCTATCTTCTGGGGAGGGAAAAAACCCCAGAAGGTCCAGCATAGAAACGGAGCCGAAAGAGACCCTTGCGAGGTTCTGCAGAGGCTTCCTCCGGAGTAACAGCAACACCCCCCCGAAAGCAACGAGGCTCGTGGCGGTGAAGAAGGCAACCCTGATGCGGAGGAGAGCCTTGGAAGGAGGCGGAAAGGAAAAGCCCCGAAAAGGCACCGAAAGGAGCGGGAGGAGCTTCGCTTCGCCTGGGCAGCCAGCGAGGCGTTTCCAAAGGCGGCGCCTGGGAGAAGTCCGGCGTCGGTCAGAGATGAGGAGGCGCTCCGGAGGGCGGCGGCTCCGGGACGCGTCTCTCGGCCGGTCCCCGCGCGTGTGCGCGCCTGTTGCCAGGGTAGGAGAGATGCGCCGACTGCGCTTTCCAAGCGACGCTTTCCCGGCTTTCCTCTCCCGGGCCGCACCGCCATATTGAGACTCGCGAGGGCTCTCGGAAACGTGAGAAGCCCCGCGGGAGGCGCAGAGATTTGCGAGGGGGGGAAAGGGGCGAAGCCGCTTCCCTCGGCTTTCCCCCGGCCCTTTCTCCTCCTCGGGCTGGGAGACCCGCTATCCTCGGCCGAAGCCGGCGCGGCTCACTTCCCACACACTGACGAGGCCTCGCTTTCGACCGGCGGGCGGGAGGCGTTCTGTCCCTGAGGCAGGTAGAGAACGGGCCTTTTAAAAACACCATAGCTCTTTCGGACCGAAGTCAACCCCGCGTTGTTAAAACCGGATTCAGAACAGCCTTAAAATGGGTTAATGGTTGGCAGATGGGGGAAGTGGGCCGAATGGTCGTTTCCTTCAAATATGCATAGTTTTGTATTTATATGCATAATTTTGCATTTATTTATTTATTTTGTCATGTTTATGTAGTGTGTATTGGAGGTGGGTGACCCTTTGAGAGCTGTATGCAACGAAATTTCATTTTAATGTGTGCTGATTAGTGTACATTTCAAAGTGACATTAAAGTTATTCTAAATCTAAAAATGACATGGAAGAGGGTCTTTTTTTCCCTCTGATCCAGAAGGAGTTAATTCAAGTATCTGTTGATGTTCCCCTAGAAAAGGAGTACAGGTAATCCTCGATTTACAACAGTTCGTTTAGTGACCGTTCGAAGTTACAACGGGCACTGTAAAAAGTGACTTAGGACTGTTTTTCACACTTACCACCGTTGCAGCATCCCCATAGTGATGTGATCACGATTCAGATGCTTGGCAACTGACTCTTATTTAAGACGGTTGCACAGTGTCCTGGGGTCTTGTGATCACCATTTGCAATCTTCTGACAAGCAAAGTCAAGGGGGAAGCCAGATTCACTTAACAAATGTTTTACTAACTCAACAACTGCAGTGATTCACTTAACAGCTGTGGCAAGAAAGATCATAAATTGCAAAGTTCACTTAACAAATTTCTTGCTGAGTGACAGAAATTTTGGGCTCGTTGTGGTCGTAAGTCAAGGACTACCTGTATATAAATCTCAGATCCTATTCCTGCATAGAAATTATTAGAAAGAGAAATAACGTGAAGTGGTATGATTCCTTTTGTCCGCTGTAATTTTTCTCTACAGGGAAATGGCTTTTTCCAAGGGTGATTGTACCCAGCCTCATTATTTCAGATCAATCAGGAATAAAAAGAATCACTTTGAAAAAATACTTGGTTTTCCCTTAACTAAAGTCACCCAAAGCACATATAAATAGGGAGGCCTTTTTCTCTAATAACCCCTTTTCAGTATTGTTTTTAGAATCCAGAAATGTGGGTTGAACGAAATTAAAATTGACATGCTTAGCTGGTTCATACAACATTGCAAGCATTAATATTTTTTCAAGCAACACGCCTATTGTGTGAAGTTAGTTTTTGTGACTTTTAAATGTATTTGATGGCATATTCTTGCAAATTCAACTGATTATGGTTTATGGAATAGATCTTAACATAGGGGCAAACTAGGTGAAATTTGTGCTATAATCACACTGCCGTTTCTTTTTTAATTCAGAGTTGATGCCTAGAATTTAATTGAATTTGTTTTGCAGAATATTTTGCTATAGTTTTCATCAAATGAAATTTGGAGAACTCAGCAAAGAATACTGTTTAAATTTAAGCATTACATCAACACAAAGAAATCTAGTAGCCTACATAGCACAGAACTTATTGTTGTTTTAGTTCATAGTAGAGAAGTATTTATACAGGTTACTCTATTCTTGTCAGATTTGTAAAAAGTGCCAAAGTCAGAAAAAAGCAGGTTAAAGTGGCTGCTGTGGAAAATGTTTTCCATCATGAAACATCATTAATTAGAATTCATCTCCACTTTCACTAATTTGTCAGCATTCTGTATTACCCATTTGTCTTTTTTATGTAGATTGATAAGTATCTTCCAAACATTGCCATCCCACCTTTTATTTCTTAGGGATGCCTATGGAATCCTTCTGCCACTTTAATGAATATGGAATGCATATAATACTGGGCTTAATCATTTTATTTTTTTTACTGCATGTCAGTTTTCTGCTTATTTGTTTATAATAAAAATAACTTTTCAAGTCCTGGGGGAAAATATGTGGGTGCTGCTGTAACATCTGCTGTTTTAAACCTTATGTCTTTTTTTAAATGTGCTGCTTTGTGTTCCAAAAATGTCAAGAATGAAAAAGTTAAAGTAGAAACCAGAAGGAAGAAATTGCTGACCATTAACATTAGCTTTGATATGTTGGAGCAAGCAGCTTAGAAATTTATTTTTGTTAAGTAACTGAGTGATTGTAACATATTGTTGCATTCCTTAACTGAGGTTCAAGTTCTTTTGAGCTAGGTCAAAAGGTTGTAAATGCTACTGGCAAACTTGCAAATATTTGAGGAACAGGTTCAGCCTGCTTTTTAGTGAATGATTGCAAGTAGTAACTATGGTATTTCTAGGTATACTGCATTTGTGTATCCAAATTAATTTCAAGCCACTGACAGATTGGTAAAATCAAGAAGTCAAATTAGAATGCTTTTCTCAGCATTTTCCCCCAGCTCAGGACAAAATATTTGAAATAGCAGTGATTTGTCATGAACACAATTATTCTAAACATCTGCAATTTATTTTTTACTTTTTTGCTGCTACTTCTTTCTGCTTTCTTTTTTCTTTCTTTCTTTTTTTGCTGCTAATTGGATTAAAAGCCATTTTGTATACTATGGCAACTTGGATGGAGACTGATAACAATGAAGATGTAAGGTAAAATATACCCCATAGGGTAAGAGATATGGAAAGTTATTTTTGAAACAAATCTTAGCCAAATATTAATTTCTCTCTTTGTTTGTTTTATATACTGCTATAGTCAACAAAGGTTCCCAATGGTGAATATTAATAAAAACACCAAATAAAATTCAATAAATACAATGTTCATATATGTGGTTCTTTAATTTCTCTGCTATATTTAATATGTTTCTTATTAAGGTGTTTTGTGGTGCTTATCAGAGATTACTTTTATCTGTTACTGTATTTAATTTGATATTGGAACGATAGGTCTATCTATCAGAAAGACAGGACTGGATTTGGATTTAACTGGCCAGGATTGATTGTTATTGTTAACCAGTGGTATATTAAGTTTAATAATTATTTTTTAAGTTCTACGTTTGGCAAATTATCAGGTTACTCAATTAATCAAATAACATATTTCGTTAGAGTTTAAATGAAAATTGTAAAAATTGGAGTTTTATTTGTTTAAATTATTTTAAATACTGATATCTGGGAATAAATATTCCAAGGAATCTTTTAGGCTTGGAACAATTAAATATGTTCACTTTCTGTCTATAAACTGACTTTGTATCAGTACAATGAAATGACTGTATGATCGGGATTTAACATGGTGTTTAAAAATAAAAATTGGGCTGAGGGATTTTTGCTATATATAATGTAATATGTCACTTTTTTCTTATTAGGTGTAATAAAAATATAAATATATATACAGACAAGGATATGCATATGCCTGAGTGACCAAAACATTTAGTAAAAACTAAGCTCATAATTTAAAGAGCTGCATAGTATGTTCTGTAAATATAATTAAGTTTCCAAAAAGAGAGCCTGGCTAAGTTGGAGCCACTTTAGAAGTGTATTTCACTTTTGAATAATACTGCTTGAAGTAGGTCAAGTGTACATATTTAAATGTTTTGTTCTTCTACGTCTCATTACAGTTATATAGACAGAATGGCAGACCTGGTGGCTGTCTGGGAAGTAGGCCTGAGTGATGGTGTTCACAAAATTGAATTTGAACATGGGACCACATCAGGAAAGCGTGTTGTGTATGTAGATGGAAAGGTAGGACATTTGCATAAAATGCATAGTTCCTTGAAAAACAACAAGTTAACAGTTTGTGTATGTAAAACATGGTTTGCTGAAAGAGTACATCTCAAGAAAGCTTTTCTAATTGGTGTTGAGTAGGCTGGGCAATTAATTTTCCCAAGGGGCCACATGAGAAACTGGGACTTTTGTGGAAAACCATTGACATTGCCTCAATGCTTCTGATGCTATGGGCCAGACTGGGTTCACCTGCCAGCCAGATGTGGCCTACAGGCTGTAAAATGCCCAGGTGTGGTGTTGAGAATGGAGGTACTCTATCTTATTTTGGTAAGGCCATACATTAGCACTGGCAAGAGAATTTACAAAAGACACTAAAAGAGGATAAGCAAGAAAGCATTTTAACCCACCGATTTCAGGGGTAAGTATGAAGGGTCCTTGATAAGTATGAGGGATAGATAATTATAGATTAAGGTTCCCTTAAATAACTATCACTTGAAATACTATCTTTATGTACACTACCCATTACACATGCTGAAATTAGTCTTTTCAACAGTTTTCAGTTACACAATTTTTATTTGAAATCAAAATTATAGAAGGAGGTTTAGACTAAATAAGTATTTCATTCTTTTTGAAATTAGATTTTATTGCTATTAGTGAAAATCGCTTTGAGATGCTCCAGCAAAAGAAGCAGTATAGAAATATATTGGATAAATAATGTTGAACTAAAGTTTTGAAAATTTGCTATTAAAGATAAATAATGCAGTTTTATGAAATATTTTTCTTCTGAACAGATGTTGAGTTCAGCTTTTAGCTATTAAAAGAATATTTATTCACAGCGTTAAACTGATAGATTAATTAATTTTCTCTGTTAATATATTCAAAAAATACACAATAACCAGTTTGGGAATTCAGTTGTTTCTTGAAAACATACATCACTTGAATGCATAGTGCAAGGAATGAATGCCTCGTGGTACTAGAATCTTGCTGTCAGTCTTGCTGCAGATATTATATAGAAAATCATTATTTAAGGTATACAGATGTATATTGGGAAATTGAGAAGTATTGCAGTCGTAATAGATACGAATGAGCAACCGGTTAATTGGAGAGATGGCTTAATTTATCAGATTGCTTTTTAGGCATAATTTTCCATATCTAATTCCTTTCATTCCATTTTTTATCATTCCCCACTGTATTATTTTCTTTTTCAAGTAGAAGGGTAAAGAAAGGGGCATCCTGACAATATGATGATTCCTTTCTTTCTGGCTTTTGGGAACTGAACTCCAGCTCCTGCCAATGTATTTGAATGATCCCATAAGATCAAACCTGGGTAGGTATTCCTTCTCTATGAAGGCAGAAAAGCACATGCAATAGAAGATGGAAGAGGAGACTAGATCTATTTCATCCAAATGACCAACACAGTGCTGCAAATGCTTCTATCCCAAATTGAGGGAATCAGTATGTGAGTAGAATCACATTCTGAGTAGGTAGCACATCTTCTTCCAGCTTCCTATCTCATTTGTCCAAATAAAAAGTCAGGGTCAGCTACATTGTTTCCTTTGGTGAATGCATATTATTGTAGCATATACTTTATGATTTGAGGCATTGCCTATGCAGCAAATCATACAAGTGCCTCTACCCTTCTGCCACTACCTTTATTATACAGCAAATTAAATTACTATCCTTTCATAAACTCAGTTCCCTAGCACAATTACACTATTGTTCATTTGTAGGATTAGTCCTACAAATAGGGAAAGGATATTCTAGAGCCATGATGGTGAACCTATGGCACGTGTGTCACAGGTGGCACGCCTAGCCATATCAATAGGTATGCAAGCTTAGCTTACCAGCGTGCATGCACGCGCTGGCCAGCTGATTTTCAGGCCTTCTGGGCCCACCAGAAGTAGGGAAACAGGCTGTTTCCTGCTTCGGGGTGGTGGGGAAGGCCCATTTTTTGCTCTCTCCAGCCTCCAAAGCCTTTCTAGGAGTCTGGGGAAGGCGAAAACGGCCTTCCCCACCTCCCCCAGAGGCCCTCTGGAGGCCGGAAATGGCCTGTTTGCCAATGCACATGATGACAAAAAGGTTAGCCATCACTGTTCTAGAGCAGTGTTCAGCCTTCAAATACATAAATATAAGGTGTATGCAGGTGTATTTGAAAGAACGTTCACAGAATGTATATTCTGGTACATACATACCGTGTTTCCCTGAAAATAAGACCCTGTCTTATATTTTTTTGAAACCTGAAATAAGCGTTTTGGCTTTATTGCCATGCACTCAAAAGCCCGATTGGGCTTATTATCAGGGGATGTCTTATTTTGGGGGAAACAGGGTACCTATTCTTCAGGACTATTATATTTTAGATATCATAGAGCCGTGATGGCGAGCCTATGGCAAGCGTGCCACAGATGGCACACGTAGCCATATCAGTGGGCACGCCAGCTGAGCTCTGGTGCGCACGCGCACGCCGGCCAGCTAATTTTCAGGCCTTCTGGGCCCACCAGAAGTAAGGAAACAGGCAGTTTCCTGCCTTGGGGGGGATGGGGAAGGCCCATTTTTCTTTCTTACCTGGCTCCAGATCCTCTCTATGAGTCTAGGGAGGGTGAAAACAGCCTTTCCCACTCCCTCAGAGGCCTTCCGGAGGCCTGAAACGGGCCATTTCCCAACTCCCAGTGGGACAGGAAGTGACGTTTTTTGCTGTCCCCAGCCTTCAGAGACTCCTAAAGAGGCTGGGGACAGCAAAAAACATCACTTCCTGTCCCATCGGGAGTTGGGAAATGGCCCGTTTCAGGCCTTTGGAGGGCCTCCGAGGGAGTCAGAAAGGCTGTTTTCACCCTTCTCAGATAAATAGAGAGGATCTGGAACCAGGTAAGAAAGAAAAACGGGCCTACCAGGCCATCACGTGCCAGGAGCGGAGGGTGGGAGAGGGGGGGTTGTGCGCGCATGTGCAGAGCAGGGCGCATAGAATTATTGGTGTGGGCACGCACGCGACCCTTTCCCGCCCCCCCTCTCCTGGCACACGATGGCAAAAAGGTTAGCCATCACTGTCATAGAGTCATAGACTTGAAAGATATTTTAGAGATAACATAGTCCAACTTCCTCCTCAGTGCAGGATCCAGTAGAACATCTCTAATAAAGACATCCAGTTTCTTTTTAAAAACCTCTAGCAAAGGAGAACTCATCGCTTTACAAAGCAACCTACACTACAATTGACAGTTTCTACAATCTTGGCATTTAATCTGAATCTTATTTTTGTAGTTTCAATTCACGCAGCCCTGTTAGGTGATAGTTCTAAGTTTACTCCCTTTTCTCTGTGACAATCCCTGAAATATTTGAAGTCTGCCATCATGTCTCCCCTCAGTTATCTAAACCTATATACAGTACATGTCATTTGTCTTTTCTGATAGAGTTTACTTTCTGGACCCTGCTTGTGTGGGGAAATGCTAGGAATTTTAAAAATAATAATAATAATCCTGTGACAGTATTTTAATACCATCAAACAGTATCTATCCTACATCCTTAGAAGGACTCGATAAGTGGATAAAATGCCAAATCCAGTCTAAACATCTCACTGACTGTAACAAACCATAATAATTCACCATGTTAGTAAACATCTGAACTTGCTCTTCAGTTTGTTTTTGTTTTTAAAGTGTAAAGTGTCTCAGAAATGGGATACAATCAGGGCAGAATAGCATTTAATAATTACTTCCTGTGATTTGGATTCTATGTTCTTGTTAAGGAAATATTACCATACAATAGGATGAAAGGATAATAAGTCTTTTGATTACATCTGATTTGATCATTTTTTCCAATAATAAAACAAAAAAGTTGACTGGTTTTATGGCAATCAAGTTTTCAGAACTGAAGCAAAAATATGTTTGTATTAAATGTCTTTTTTTCATCCTTAGGAAATAATAAGAAAAGAATGGATGTTTAAATTAGTGGGAAAGGAGACATTTACAGTTGGAGCAGCTAACACAAAGGCTACTATTAATATTGATGCAGTCAGCGGATTTGCATATGAATATACTCTGGAAATAGATGGAAAAAGTCTCAAGAAATATTTGGAGAATCGGTCAAAAACAACAAACACTTGGGTTTTACACCTAGATGGTACAGATTTTAGAGTTGTTTTAGGTATGTTAGTTTCCTGAAGTCTCTTGTATGGTTAATGTACTATTTTAGTTGTATTTTGGTACTCTCCAATATAAATGCTATAACCCCTTTGTTTGAAATAAAGACTAAGGGAACCTTTATTGAAAATCAATATGTCTGGTGGCTTAGAGTTGACAATGTCTGCATGGCACATAATCAAGTTAGTTACATATTCTTATCTTGGAGACATTCTAGGATTACAACAAGATCTCTTGGTTTCGAAAAGGATTTGTTAAATTAGTGTTAAATTTTAATAGCTGTTTATAATTTACTAGCATTGGTTTATATTTAGTGTTGAATCTTAACTATGTATTGTTGGCAATGTGATTATTGTATAACAAAATAGAAAATAGCATTATTATAAATCCAGAAAACATCATGTTGGACATATATATGGCTATGGGCATAACTATGAGAATTAAGGATACTGACTAACAAGCTGGTTTTAAGATAATAGCAGCATTTTGTAAATAAATCTGTGTCTACTATCAACCTGTATCTGCTACCATAATATCTTTAAAAAAGTCACATGCAGCATTCTCTTGCCCTTTGCAAATTGCAGAAAGATTACCAGAATCAAAGTCCTTCTGTCAAACTGGCATCAGCTATAGATTTGATAACAATGTACACTCATCTGCACCCCAATTTCAATAGTCACCCTAATTTTCAAAACGTCACACCTTTTAGGCAGTTTTGAGTTTTCCAGAAATACAGGTTTTTAAGTAATTTTTTTTAAAAAAATTGACAAGTTACATTCATAAGGCATTATTTACTTAGAAATGATTGCCCTTTTTCAGATTGAATCTATTTTCTATTAAATTGATAGACATTTAACATTCTTGCAGTCATAGAATAAGCAGGACTTGTGATTGTTCCAGTTTAGTGCATTTCTCTTAAGGATACCATTCATTCTATTCTTCCTCCCATTGGATTCTTTTTCTCAATATTCCATCAGCATTCGGTGGCCACTTGACATTCTATAAGTTTTCTGTTAATTTTTTATTTTCTCCAAAAGCACGATATTATAACTATATGAACAGCATTCTTAGAGAAACATCATGCATATAATGAGATTTCATCTGGACCAGAATGCAATTAGAAATGCATTTATAGCGTTTTGTAGAATTCAGTCAAAATAAAACATAATGTAAACTGCAGAAGAGTTTTGATCTGGGTATAACTTTTATACTTAAGATATTGAAATTGTATATAATAGTTTAAGTAGCAATCCTTTTCTAATTTTGTTTTTCAGAGAAAGATACAATGGATGTCTGGTGTAACGGTAAAAAAGTGGAGACAGCAGTATGTAACATCAAAAAACATTTTAAGTAGATTATTTTAGTTGAAAATAATTAAGTCATAAATTAAAGAGGCTATTTCATACCATCTTTCTCTCCTCCCCCAAGAAATTGACAATCAAGACAAAATAATTGTGATAGCTGAATAGCTTAACAAGCAATCATAACGAGCATAATCCTATAGAATTTTAAAGATTATTACTGGTAGGAAACCTGTGGCCTTCCAAATGCTGCTGAAAAACTACACTTTCAGCAAACCCTGCCAATGGTCCTACTGGTTGTGGATAGTGGAAGTTATAGTTCTGCAGCAGCCCAATATAAAATAAAACATAAATTAACAATCATGATGGTGTCACAGGTTCATTTTTAGATGATACAGACTCCAGAAAGAAGGTAAACAGATTTGTATTTTTCCATGCAGGAATCAGTGTTTTTGAGCAAATAGAAAAGTGCAACTTTATCTTTACGAGGCTTCTTTTTGTTTCCATATCTCAGTTTTCAGTCTGGGAACAAAATAAGCTAAGAATCAAGCTGCTGCCCTTGGTCTCCAAATTGATGACTATCTCTGAGTAATGCTGAGTTCTCCTCAGCCACTTTATCAAATTTCACTTTCATTTCCCTTTCTCTTGCCAGCCTTTTGTCATCAGGTTACTGCTTCCCTTGCAGTGTAGTTTGTACAGTATATCTCTGTTGAATGAGATGAGTCATTTGGAAGGAACATTCGGCTCTCTTTTCTTTGTTTCACTGCCATACACTAAATAAATAAATCTTTGTTTCACTATTGAAAACAGGATTGACTTATACATTAGGCATAATAGGCAAAGGGCTCATAAAAATATTTTAATGTGGGGTTTTTTTTAAATCAGAAAACAGTGAAGTAGAAGTTACTTATTTTGGTGCCTTTTAAAAAATATTTATTTCACCACTTTTAATAAAAGCATGCAAGAAACTCACAAAACATGAACAACAAATCTTGTTTGTAGCCATGTGTGACAGACATAACTAACTGGCCACAATTTATTATTATTACAGAATAATGTTTATTATTTATAATCTGTTTCTTTGTTTTAAAAAAAACAGAAAATACTGAAAATCCTATGGAATGTAATTTTTAATAATATTGTTTTTATGGAAGTAGGGGCCTCAACAAAGCAAAAATGTATGGGGCTTACAAAAGTCATCATGTGGCCTGGCCTGAAAAGTATTTTTCCTTTAACCAGGCTCCTGCTCCTCTTCCTCTTCCTCTTAGTCTTTCAATACTCCAACTCATCTTTACTGTCTCACAACAAGGTGCTTTTTCAAGAGGCAACTGGACTTTCTGATTTTTCTTTGAAAATGTTTCACTTCTCATCCAAGAAGCTTCTTCAGATCTGAGCGAAACATCTTCAAAGAAAAACCAGAAAGTCCAGTTGCCTCTTGAAAAAGCACCTTTGGGACAACCATGACCTGGATGGCTGAGAATCTCCATAGACATGTGTCACAAGTTCTTTCCCTAAGTTGAATTTTCTTTCTTCAGCAGAAAACCCAAATCATACATGTCAGTATTGGAAAGCTCCCACTGATCTTTGCTGCTGCCGGAACTCCTTTTAACACTTAGTTTAATGGCTGGGAGGTGGAAAAAACACAAAGATCCATGCATGTTCTGGAATGCTTATGCCTCTTACAAAACGGAAGGACTTCCCTCTTCCAGAACCTTGGCATCGGCTTCCAGATCAAAACACCTCACAAAAGCAATAGGAGGTTTGCTCTTTCCCAACCTTTTACACAGCTAAACTCTACTACAAGACAAATGGAACATTTCTTTGAGAAATTCCATACAGTACATAAAATAATTGCACGCTTATAGTTCAAATGGCATTGATATCTTTTCTGAAATTCCTAGTCACAGAAAAATTAAAGGTTGAGCTTGCTGTCCTGTTTGTATGCTGTAACTCTGAATGTTTTATGCTTTCTTGAAACTAAAATAATTCGATAGCTAGTAAAAGTCTGAAACATTTGTGAATCATTAAATAGCTTTTTTAATCTTTTTTTTTTTGTCAGGGTGAATTTGTAGAAGATGGGACAGAAACACATTTCAGTATTGGAAAGCACAACTGTTATATCAAAGCTATCAGCAGTGGAAAGAGAAGGGAAGGAATTCTTCACATGCTCATTGTGGATGATGGAGAAATTCCAGAAGTCTTGGAATAGCTTTCAGAGACTAATGCAGATAAAAATATCAGGGATTTTCAATTACTGTGGTATAATTGACAACTTTAATGTGTACTTGTTCATTGAGTCTGTGATGGATTTTTTAAGTTAGAACATAGAAAATTCACTAGAGGGCCAAATAAATATGTAAAGTTATGTATAATTATTATTTTGTTATATAGGGACACTGAAGGGGAACTGACTAATGTAGAAATAGTTTACATGGGACATTTTAATAAAATAGTGCAGAATAAAAGAGTCAGTTTGTTCATTTACATATTGGAAGGTTTTTTAATCCCTTTAAATTAAAATTAATTTTTTAAAAAAAACTTGTGTACTGCAGCGAATGAGTAAATGTATCTTTTTGAGATTTATGATTGGTGAAACTGATACCAGACGTCTGCATGCCTATGAAGTTAACTTTCATCTCTATGTACTAGGATTGCTATAAGAGCCCCATAACTACCTTCCCTATGTAGCCATTTCATTCTGTGGGCCTAAGGAGATCTATCTAATGAGTTTGATTGAATTCATGATCGATGAGTGCTTGAGTTCAGAAATGGTGAAATCACAATGTCCTTTGACAACTCTATAACTGCATATAGAAGGTATGATACAGTAAAATCAAGTCTTATATTTTCAAAATCCATGTAGCTTTAAGAATGTAAACAAAACTATGGAATAAATATAAACTAGATTGTGCCCAAAACACTTCTATGGCTCTTAGCATAAAAAGCATTGTGTAGATGAAAAATGATAAGTAAGCATAAATGTACTAGAGTCTTCTTAAAAGGATTGTAAAATAAAATCAAGGGATTTAACAATAGGTGGTTATTTTCATATATACAGTTATCAGGAAGGTTTAAAGTGGATAAAATATGTCTTTGAATAATGCAGGACTGAGTTTGAAATAGAATTATGCACAAATGATGTTATTGCCAAAATGTATAAACTTTTGTGAAAATACGAATCAGAAGAACAAGAAAGAATGTAAGATAAAATGGGCTAGGACTTTTCACCTCAATAAACAATAGCATTGGCACTTAGACTTATATACCGCTTCATAGTGCTTTTACAGCCTTCTCTAAGCGGTTTACAGAGTCAGCATATTGCCCCCAACAATTCGGGTCCTCATTTTACCCACCTCGGAAGGATGGAAGGCTGAGTCAACCTTGAGGCTGTTGAGATTTGAACTGCCAAACTGCAGCTAGCAGTCAGCTGAAGTAGCCTGCAGTGCTGCACTCTAACCACTGCGCCACCTCCACAAATGGATTAATGGGAAAATAGGTGGTTGAAAGGACTACATTATATTTACATTATGTTCTAGCCTTAAAGAGAATTCTTATAAAATGCTGTATCATTGGCATTTCTCACCAGAGAAATTTATTTTTATTTATTTTATTTTATTTGTTCAATTTATATGCCGCCTTTCTCCAAAGACTCAAGGCAGCTTGAGTAGAATGTATGAAGGTACTTCAAATATTTATTGGAAATGTGAACAACATAAAGGGATATTTTATTATATATGGTGGATATGTAAAAAAAGACACAATTTTTGGATACAAATAAATATATTAATTCAGAAGATAAAGATGAATGTACAATTGAAACCAGAAATTTATCTTTTGGGATTAAAAAAACCATGGAACTTAGTTTTCATAAATGATGATTGCAGTGAAATTATATGGTCAAAAGTAGAAAAGTTCAGTGCTACCCACAACAGAGGAATGATTGGTGAAGATGATGGAACTTGCAGAGATGGCCAATTTCCCGATTTCCTTGATTAGAGTAAAGGGAGTATCTAGATATGGCTGACTGCAAACCCCTTGTAGACGTTTTGCATTAAAAGGGGGGGGGAAGCACTTAAATTTGTGAACCTTTGATTAGGAAAAAATAGGTAATAGAAAAAAGTGAGCTTTTTGTAATTACAGAGTGATGACTTTGTAATCATTTATATTTACTGCAAAGGAAATTGGAAGCCTTTTCTTTTTGCTTTTGTTTTCTTTATCCCTTTTGTCTTTTGTCTTTTTTTTTTTAATTTGATTTATATGCCACCCTTCTCCGGAGACTCAGGGCGGCTTACAATGCGTTAAGCAATTGTTTTCTTTGTCCTTATAAGTTTCTTTTAGTTTTTATGGTCTCTTTAAAACATTTTGTAAAGTTTATTTTTTAAAAAAGAATGTAAACAAAACTATAACAATGACTGTACCAGAAACTATATTATTCTCATTAATATAGAAATATAAAGGAATAAGAGAAGTTTATGTTTAGTATTATGGAATGTGTATGTCTAAATATTGATGTGAACAAATATAAATGAATTTAGTGGGCTCATGGAGTTCTAACTCTTCGTTGGACTATGAGCAGCATTTAAAACTAACTGTTCTTGATATTTGGCTTGTACCTTCACACTTTTTCTTAAAAGAAAAACAGTCCTGGTTTAAGAAATACCAAGCTAAATAACATTTTTAAAAAACTTTAAAGCATTGTAGATAGAAGCTGTTCTTATAGACTATTACAAATCAGAAATCTTGTTTCTGAATGTTCAATATTTTATTGAGCAACTGAACTCCATATATACTGATTTTAATTTATTAGTTCTTAATTATTGATATTTTATATACTGTGGTACCTTGGTACTCATTGTTAATTGGTTCTGGGTGGCATGATAAGTACCAAAAATGATGACTGCCAAACAATTTTTCCTATAAGGAACAATGTAGTGAGTTACAATGCAGCTGACATTGACAAGTTCTAGCTTGTACCAAACAAATGATGAGTACTGGGACAAATTTTTCATATCAAAATGTGTTGTGTATCAAATTCAATGTGTTTCAAAGCAGTTGAATATCAAGGTATCACTGTATAAGACACTCAATTCATTTCTTGTTAGCTAGTTTCTAAATATTCTTTATAAATAACTTGTGACATCCAATAGTAGCTCTGTTTTAAAATTAAGCACGAAACAGTTCAATTTTAAGAAATATTGAAAGAAAAACAGTTTCTTATACATCACAATCTCTGAAAACAAAGCAAAAGAATGGCATTTTTTATTGTACCAAAAACATCACAATCTACTTTTCAATATTGTTTAATGTGATTATATAAACCACATGATACATATAAATCACTGTATTTCGACATTGTTCTAATCTTGTGCAACAAGATTTGCAACAAGAATTGGAATTTGAAAATAAGTACTGTAACTGAAAGTTAATATCTAAATACTTGGCTCTCAAATAGTTGTACTCTTATAATTGATAAAACATAGCAGTTTTGAGAAAAAAACGTGAACATTTGTACATTTAAATAATATTGCAATCTTAAATATTTGTACTATATATGTGTGTGTGTAATTGGAGGTGCAAAATGTATGCTGCATGTATACTGTATGAATGAATGGGTGTATGAATGAATGATCTAGTTTATGATGTTGAACTCCATTGGTATTGTAAAATTTAACATTCATTTATTGGCATTTAATGTAATACTACCTAGAGTTGAGTCCTTTTAATTCCTAACTGACTAGCATTCATCAACTGAATGTTTCACCCCTCTCCACAAATCTGTAGGAAGTTAAAACCCTCAGAAAAGATGAGAATGCTGAGAACAAGTGAAGTCCCATTATATAATTGTAGGTTATTTCACCCAGCACTGATTGTAACACTGATTGTATCCCCTTTATATAAACATTAATTTATTTGGAATTCTGGTTGAGATTAATTTTAGAAAATTAGCTAGAGAAAAAAATATATTCTGCAAAACATTCATGTTTAAGAAACCCATTGTGTGTGTGTGTGTTAATCCCAATTGAGTGCTGGATAGTGGAGCTAAGGGCTTGGCCTCAGATTTTAGTGGCTGTGTGTGTGTATGTGTGTGTGTGTACACACACACACACCCCTCCCAATCTTGTACCATTAAATGTGATCAATCTAAATTTTTAAGTGCAATTTCCCAAATTCCTCATCATGTCTCCAATACTTCACTACTGTATAGGCTGGAATGATAAGAGGAGGCTAGAATATGGCAAGCTGTATTTCTTTACTAGTTGAAGCTGACACCATTCCCTCCTTAGTTTTCCTGACATTAGAAGACAGATCTCAAAGTGGGTGGAAGCAAGCTGTTTACAGCACACACTCCTAGGATTTTCGCTCACTATCTTTGGACTATGAGCAAGCAAGGGTCAAATTTAAGTCACATATGCTTAATATAGACAGTCAAAAGGATGGTTGTAATATCTCTCAGCTTCCCATGGCAGACAGCAGGAGATAAACTCTTGACACCAGCTTCTTACACAGTGTGAGGAAAATCAGTTTTTAAATGAGTGCAACTGTTTAATAGACAAATTGAGACATGTGGAATGTGGCCTTGCAACTCAAAGGGCATATGCTAAATTTTATCAGAACAATCCAAAACAACCCCTGAATCATAAAATGCAAATGTTTCTTCTAACCAGGGCCACTGTTCTTTAGATAACAAAAGGGTAGGAAGTAGCCTGAGATCTATTAGGTAATTACTTATGAATATCTATGCATGTATCATTTCTCCTTGCTTTTTGCATTATTTTCCCCTTTGTTCTGAAATTATGGGTGCAACTCTTATCTGCAGGAATGTGTTTCCCACTATTCTTCTGGAGGAGAGCTCCTCCGGTATCTACTAATAGATCACGGCAGTGAATCTAATTATTTGCTTTGGGTTTTGATTCCAGAATAGCTTCACATCCCATATCAGAAAGGGACTTTAACCTTATCAGAAAGGGACTTTAACCTTAAGCCCAATGTAAATGCTATACCTTCAGTTCTTCTGGCTCAAAAATACAAAAAAACAAACCCCATACCCCATACGAGTACCGGTAGGTCCTTGTGACATGTTCTTCTGTATTTCCAGTTTTATACAGAACCCTGAAATGCTCTGACTTTACTTTTGACTAGCAAAATACAACAATCAACAGTATAAATAATTTCTACTTCCCAATTTCAACCCTGAGATAACATATAAGATTGCCATGTAAAACCAGGCAAAAAAATAATTAAGAGAAATTGAACGTGCCTGCGTATCGGTAACCAGAAATGGATGAGGCTCTGAATTAACCATTTGCTTTGGAATGTAAATGCCATGTCAGCTGTTGTACTATATTTTTTTTAGGTTTTGTAAGAGAAGTTTGTAATTCTTAAATCCTTTTTGGAAAATTTTATTTTATTTACAAATATACATGAATACATGTATATGTGTATATATGTATTTGCATTGCATTTGTATTTTACACTGTTATTTCAAAGTTTATATTATCCAGATTGCTAATTTTAATTTGTTGTTGTTGCATATGTGTAGCCTAAACAAACCCTTTAGCATATTTTGATTTAATATTGTCTTTCAGCCAATTATTTTTTGGTCTATATGTACTTTCCTTAACAATCTTGAGATGGTCAATTTAGTTTTGGATATTTGAGTATCAATTCTTTTGTACTGGCTAATGTCCACAGTAAAATTAAGTAAGTAAATATAAACCCCCCTCCCCCAGGTATTCAGACGGCTTAAAATTAATACTTTAATATAAGGATTTGTGGCTGCAGCAGTTCTGTTTCAAATAAAATGAAGGCTTGATTTTAACTACCTTTTGTTGAAATAACATTAAAGAATAAGGAGACTTCACGAATATAATGTTGCAGGGATTTCTTTTTTCATTGCATTACAGAACTGCCATATGTTTATTACCTAATCTAACACAGAAGTAGTGTCTGTGTTTCAATTAACATTAAGGCTTCAGAGATTCTAGGATGATGGTTCCAAACTTGCCTTCTGATCAGGGCTCCAAAGCAGAGAACATGTCAATAAGTACAGTGGTAGAGCTTGTTCCTTATTAAAAATTACAAAGATTTCAGGGTTATGAATATCATCAACCACACTATCGTAGAGTTTCATACTGCTTGCGTTAATTAATGGTGGCGCTACATAACTCCGATTGCCCCTTGTGTATGACCCTGTTACAACTTCTGCTTCAAACATACAGATCAAATGGTCCATTTCACATTTTTCTCTGGTATCTGCTATA